ATCTTACTGGCCACCTTGATACAATCTCAGCTTTACTTATGCATCTTGGCTCTGACTGGCCCTTCCTGATGGCTGCCCCCCCCAATCTTCCTGTATGTAGGGCTTGAGGAGGTTCTCTTCCACTGTATCCAAGGAAGTGTGCTTGCACATGAAAGCTTATACCTTGAATAAAACTTTGTTGTTCTTAAAGGTGCCATTGGACTCAAACTTTGTTTCGTTGGTAATACAGTAGGTGTGGAGCAATGTCCTCCATTGTTTCATTCATATTTCTTTTGGTAATAAAATAAATGCAAATTAGCAACAACAACAAAAAGTCCCTGTGATAGTGGAGGTGGAGGATACTGGCCAATATGCCAAGTGTTGCAAATCATTTGTATAGAGGAAAGTAGTGGACATTTTAGGAAAAAGTGGCAGTGTATGGTTGTTAGTTAATACCTCTTTTATGACAGACAGCATTTCACTAAAAAAAAAACCCCTGTAGCTTCTTGGCAAAATTGTGGGGGGGAAACCTAGGGATTATGCCCGGTGCACATTTATTTTGTTAAAAGTTGTAAGTCAATAGCTTGGGAGACAGCGAAATCATCATACGAGAAGATGGCCAGAGCTCTGTACATCCTTAGATCCAGTGCCAGTCAGCGTGTGTATTTTTTTAATGGCCTGTTGGAGATGCATTGATTGTTGATCTCAGTAGTGGCCTTGTTAAATCAATTGGGTTGGAGGAATTTTGACAGTCATGATAGAGATAATCACTCCCCTAGCATGCTTGCCTGTGTTTTGACTGCATATAATTGACAGAATGGCTAGTACTGTTTTGAAGAATGACATTATGAAGGTGGCCAATGGGCTGCTAGGTTCAAGCTGCTGTGTGCAACCAGCTGGTTGACCTTCATCCACAAGTCATTTACAGTGAACCCAAAGTTAGATGTTTATAATAGGATATATAACATAACATAACATAACATAACATAACATAACATAACATAACATAACATAACATAACATAACATAACATAACATAACATAACATAACATAACATGACAGAGGAGTGACTGTGTGCTCTTTTTAAACATCTATACTATGAGAGCAGTCCTAAACAGATCTACTCAGAAGCAAGTCCTATTTTATTATATGAGATTTACTCCCAGGTAAGGGCCCTTAGGGTTGCACTATGAATGTATGCCCATCAAAAAAAAATCTAATTCAGTTTATTAGCCAGAACAAACACACCAGAAATAACACTCCAGCACAAACCAACAATGTATACAGATTTGAATACTAAAACCCCACCCTAGGGAACATTATCTAGAATGGGACTAAATCAAATCAGCTTTTCTATGGTTGAAAAAAGGAGAGAGAAGGTCCTGTTTGACTCACAAAAAAGGCCATACTGGGGACTTGCATTGACAAAAGCCATTTGAAACAGGTGCTGTAGTAAGGAGGAGAACTGGGAAGATGTGAAAAAGCTGGCTGGATCCAGCCCATTTTCAGTAAAAGACTCTGGAATAGCCAGATGTTAGATGGTTTTCTGACAGCCAAGCAGATTAGTAATTAGTATAATTTTCATTGAGCCTTTTACATAGGGTGGGAGGCAGCTACAGGAAGAAAAAAAAAACACCTAAGGCTAGATGTACTGTCTGAGGACCAAACTAGATGTTATGGCAACCTCAGGTCTGACCCATGGATGCTGGTGCCATTTGAGAGAAGAATTAGGCCATTTAAAAACACTGTGAAGGCCCCATCCTGAGTGGGCCTGTGGTGTGATGGGACCAGGCAAACATGTTTCCCCTTCGCATGCCTTTTCAAGTGCCAAAACAGCCCCTCCACAGCTGTTTTGGTACTTGAAAATGTGTGTGCGGGGCTATAAGATTGCCTGGCCCTACTGCACCATGGCCCCCCTCGTGGCATTTTCAGATAGCGGGATTCTTCTCTAAAAAGGCATTGGTGTCCAAGGGTCAGATCCATGGATACCATGATGTCTAGTTTGGCCCTGAGAAGAAGGGATGTTCAGGAGCCATTGTAGGACTTACCCACTATGGAACTAGTACTAGTGACTTCAATTTTGTCCCGTTATATGTGAACACTGTATGCTTTCAGAACACTTTGTGTACTTGCCATAACTGTGATTTGATGTGGAGAGTAAGAGTGGTTTAGTGACCCCCTCCCCAGCTGTGAATACAAACAATAGCATGGGAGTTCACCATGAGATAGAAGAGAAGAAGAAGAAGAAGAAGAGATTGGATTTATATCCTGCCCTTCACTTGGAGTCTCAGAGCGGCTTACAAATGCCTTTCCCTTCCCCTCCCCACAACAGACACCCTGTGAGGTAGGTGGGGCTGAGAGAACTCTGACACAAACTGCTCTTTTTCAAGGACAGCTGTGCCAGAGCTTGTGACTGACCCAAGGTCACATCAGCAGGTGCAAGTGGAGGAGTGGGGAATCAAACCTGGTTCTCCCAGATTAGTGTCCGCACACTTAACCACTACACCAAATATCCCTAGATATTTCTGTCTTTGCTTTTTGCTACCAGTTGTGACATTTACTTGTTGATTTTATTAAACTTGTGTGTGTGTGAGAGAGAGAGAGGCAAGGGAGAGGGAGAGAGAGACAGAGAAAGAGAGAGAATCCCCTGTGTCCAAGGAACTTACATCCAAGAATATCCTATATAATAATTAGCTGCTTTGCAAAGTTTATAACAAATGGTTTTCCATGCAGCTCTAATTGTGTGTACTGGAACTGTGACAGTTTTCACTAATTGCAGGGACCTGGCTTGACTGGTCCTTTGGGAATGCACTTCTAGAAGTTGGCTCAAAATGGCAAGAACATTAAAGTGAACACTGACTATTCAGTAAGCCACTACAGAAGTTTGGGCAGCTGAATCAATGCAGATCAGAATGGCTCAAGAGTTTCTATGAAAGGAGTTGGTGATTTTTCCTTCAAACACGCAAATTCACAACTAAGCAATGCATAGGGGTGGTAACTCATCCTAGCAGGTTTCTCATTTTTTTTCCATCCTCCTGGCCAGCAATAACCTCTATTTTTAATTCTTATTTGGGCTTTATGGGGAAACTGCCATCTACATGATTAGCTGGTATGCATAAATTTCAAAGAGATTGCTACTATAAAGTGCCATTTAAAAGCTCCGAAGAAGCCAGTAACTGGAGATTCCTGGACCAAATGATACTGACTAAGAAGTTTTGCTGTCTCCCTCCCTTCTGCCAAACTAGAAGTCATAGGGTTGCCAGTCTCCAGGTGGAGCCTAGAGATCTCCCAGAATTACAACTGGTTTCCTGGTTCCAGAGACCAGTTCCCCTGCAGAAAATGGCAGCCTCACAGGGTAAACTCTACATCACACTCATTTGTTATGAGGGCTGGATCTGACAGAAATGTCACTTTGTCAGGCTGGGCCATGCATGCCATAAAGTGTAGTGCCAGGTACAGGATGATATTAAGAGAGTCTCAGTTAGTACATAGTACAGATTATAGTACAGATGTGACTTTTCCAAGGGAGTTTGGAAGGCAAGCATAATTCCTAAAGACTGTGATTTATTGCATGTGTACAAGACACATTAAGGATCCATGTTTCCAGAATGTCTCCCCTTTTCTGTTATCCGGACATGTAACCAGCCTCACCATCTCTTTGATCTGAAATACTTCCATTTTTGGAAAGTCTTTTGTCTGCTCTTTCTCCTTCTCCAGCTCAAGTCCAAAGCACTAACATTTGGGTGACATATAAATACTGGAACTGAGGAAGAGCCACACACTTGAGGGTATGGTGAACTGCAAATTCTCATCCATTTTGTGCTTTCCTGTCCTGAGATGCCTGAGAGAGGCACCGGTGGGTATGTATCTGTAAAACATGGCCCAATGGCCAAAAAAGCTGAAACTTTTTTTTTTTGCTGAGAAACATCAAACATTGTGTTTTACAGTACTTTTTGCAAAGGGATAGGCAATTTTATCACAAACTGACAATAATGATAAGATACTGTAGAGGAGATGAAAAATTCTGATTGATGGTTTTTATGTATTGTCATTCGATCACTGTGTTGGATTTTTGCAGATGTTGGATACTTTTGATATATTGTAAGCCATTTTAAAACTCTTGTTACTATACCCCATGCCCTAAGACCAGGGGTCCCTCACTAGTATCTCAAGATTATCTGCAACACCAGCCTAGCACCTTTTTATTCTTACAGCTACACTTAGAGCTATGTGCCTTTCCATTGTGATATCTCTTCCCACCTTGCCTTTAACTCATGCTCTTTTACCATCTTAAGAGTCCCCTGAACAGGCCCATAGCCAGGATTTTTTTTTAAATCCAGGGGGCCTTTAAATAAATTGGGGGGCACCCACACAGACATCCCCACCCCCCCAAGGAATTGCCACAAATAAAATTAAAAATTGGAAGCCGGGGGGCCTGGGCTGGATGGACGTCAGTGGGCCTTGGCAGTAAGTTGGGGGGGGGTGAGATGTCCCACTGTAGCTATGGGCCTGCCCCTGACAGTGCCATAGCTGTCTTTGGGTTTTAGCCCTTGGGACCACAGCCTACTCTATAGAGTATTTTCTTAGCACAGGCAAGTTACCTCACTGGAGTGCCTTTCTGGGTGCTGCTTCCGGGTTACCCTTGAGGCCACTGCATCTTGCCAGCTTGGCTCTGTCCTCCAGTTCCCCTGCTTCACTGGTCAGTTGCCCTCTGGCTGCCTTAGAGGAGCTGCCATTGGGGGCCTTGTCTCATACCCGGGGGTTCCCTTGAATCTTTCTGCAGGCCTCTGCCATTGCTGTGGATGACCCCACAGCGGTGAGGATCTACCCTCTTCTTCTGCAGTTCCTGTTGCTCTCAGTGTTCCCGCTCCCATCTTCTCATTCACAGCTGCTGCTTCTGGAGCCTTCCTGGCTCCCACACCCAGCTTCTCAACTGTGCCCCCCATTATCCTCTTTGGAATTGTTTAAGGATCTGACTGTCTCACCAGGTCCTGCCCACCCCTTGGTGGTTGCCACTTACTTCTATCTTAGTTGTTTTCACTTCATACAAAGCTGTGGAAGAGCCCCATCCATCAACTGGGCTGCTTGGGACCCACTGGCCATTCACAATTCTATAAGAATAAGTCTAGTTAATTTGACTAGAGCTAGATCAAGGCAATAGACACTCCTAAATACCTTGAAAACAGGCCTAATGTTGTGAAATTTCTTTGGGGGAGTCTTCCATTCAAAAGTATTGAATAGTTTATTTTGCAGCAAAAGAAAACCAGTTTAAATGAGTTTTAGTGAAGAGCTTTAGGATCTATTGGTTTCTGCGGTATTCTGCTACACTGACATTTCTAAAGGAAATGTATAAGGATGCAGAGATAAACTCATTATTTCACATTTTTCTCCTTATTAACTGCTCCCTGTTGTTTAGTTCAGGCTGCAGTAAAATGATGTAGCATTTTGGGGAAAAAATGCAAACCAGTATGCCAGCACTGGAAGGTAAAATAGAGAAAATCTCCACAGCCACCATGTATTTCCCTTTGGTACTCAGGTAGGTGGGAACAAAGCACAACCAAACACTGCAAAACACCAACATGCTGAAAGTGATAAATTTGGCTTCATTGAAACTGTCAGGTAACTTCCTAGCAAATACAGCCACAGTGAAGCTGACAAAAGCTAGGGAACCCATGTAACCCATGACACAGTAAAACAGGGTAGCTGAGCCCTCATTACATTGTAATATGATTTTCCCATTCCATGAATACATGTCCTTATCTGGGAATGGAGGAAAAGTGGTTAGCCAAATGGTACAAATACATATTTGAATGAAAGAGCAAGAAAGAACAATAGAATTTCCCAGTCTTTTCCCCATCCATTTCCTCATCTCAGATCCTGGTTTAGTAGTCATGAATGCCAGAATCACAGTGATAGTTTTGGCCAATACACTTGAAAGGGCCACACAGAAGATGATGCCAAAGGCAATTTGTTGGAGCCAGCAGGTAACTCTTTCAGGCTGCCCAATGAACAGAAAGGAACAGAGGAAACAAAGAAGGAGGGATATGAGGAGAAGGTAGGTGAGGCTCCGGTTGTTGGCTTTAACTATGGGAGTGTTCTGGTGCTTCAAAAATGTTGCAAGCACCAAAGCAGTAATCAGAATGAAAGAAACAGCGAGTTTAGCCAAGATGAATCCTAGGGGTTCTCCATATGACAGGTAGCTTATAATTTTGGGAATGCATTGGTTTTGGTCCTTGTTGGGGTAGCTCTCGTCTGGACAATGGACACAGGTATCCACATCTGAAAAAAGGGAAAGTGGTATAAATATTTAATACTTCAATCAACATGTCAGACTCCTCTAATGATACCGAGGGTTCATGGCTACTTGGAGGGAAAACAGAGACCTCCTTAAGTGGAGAAGGAAGATTGATATTGGATAGGGGAAGAACCTGTGTTCTCTTTAGTTACCCTGGGGGCAATAACAATCATGATGAAGATCAGGGCTCTCTGTCTATTTATAAAAGGTAAATATCATATACATGCTGCCATGATCTGAACAGGCTATTTCAGAATGGGGAATCTCTGCTGGATCAGGCCAGTAGTTTATTTAGTCCAGCATTCTGTTTCACACAGTGACCTGGTAACTTCCATGGAGGGCTGATTAACCTTTCAAACCTGTCCAGTTTTATACATTAAAACAAGGTTCCTTGTCTTTAAATTAGCATTTTAAAGGAAATAATTTTTTCTCTCCTTTAAAACAATAAGAACAGCACAGAAGTCCAGTTTTTATTAGCAAAATCAAGTCAAGGCTGAAAAGTTAAGTCTCCTCTCTTTTCCCCTCATGACTCTGATCTGAATCATGACTGTGTGCATATGCAATTTTCCTTTTCCAGATGAATGGACATCCATTTCCCCCTTATGTAGGTTTAGTTTAAACAAACTAAGGTGCCATGTCAAAGACTTCATGCAAAAAGTTTGGTTTTGAGGAGAAGGGGTAGGAAGGTTCATATGAATATTTTGATTAAGAATAGCAACTAAAAATTGTTGGCTGCAAGATCTCATCTTCATTGTGAATTCACTTGGTGGCCTCTGCAAAGCCACAGTTTGTCAACCTGAACCACCCCCTTCTCTAGCTGTAATATGGAAATAATAATACTGAATTACATTACACCAAGGATCATGGGAATATGTTCTGTGCTGATGTACAAATGCTAAGCTTTAATATTATTATGAATAAGAAGTTGACTTCATTAGATTTTGTAGGATCTCTTTAATTCATGGGCAAGTAATATAAGCCACGTTTTGTCCTTGCAGGTAGAAGTAAGTGCATGGAGTTCTGCTCCACTAAAAATACAGGTAGGGATCCTTGGAGCCCCCCTGCAGCACAGTCCTAGTATCTCTTACCCTACATTATTCTTTCAATAGCCATGTATGAACAGCTTTGGAGAGCATCCTTATTTAGAGCAAATCATAGCATTCAGGGCTTTAAAATACAAACAAACTGATTGAAGGATTCTGTGTCTGAATCAATGCAATGATAGAATTTTGCAAAATAAACAGGGGATGAAAGGAAAGTCAAGATAAAAGTATCATTTGCCACAGCCTGCTCTTCCATCCATGATAAGTTAAGGAGAAATAGTGCTTGGGAATCTTATTAATCAAAGAGGAAAGCCATTTTATGAATGATGTTCTCATTACTTCTAGATAATAGGTTATGCAAACCTGCATTGTATTAGTTTTGTTGAATAGGGTGTACCATGGGATATGGTTCATATCTCTGTACATTAAGGATGCCTGCTTTTCAACTGGCACCTTTTGCTATGCATTTCATACAAATATGGTATTTGGTCCTAAGAAGGTGATTAGGCCTGACCTGTTGATTTCTGCATGTCAGATAGCAAAGGGAACAGATTATATTGGATTTCCCCCCTGGTTCTTTGATAATTGTACTGTTCATTACATCTCCTACCCTTCTGCTTGGAGACCATTCCTTCTGGACATGAAATACAGTCATAGCAGCAAAACTTTTCTCCCTCCTTCTTTTTCCTGCTGTAGCCAGGAAGGCAGTTGTTGTTGCACACAGAAATAGGCAACACCTACCCAGAAATAGAAAGGGAGTCTAGAATCACTAAAATGTTTATTGAGATTGGCAGGTGTACAAGATGGACTATTTGTATATAGCAATGACTTTAAAGAGTCCACACTGTGTTACTTGTTTGTTGCACATGCTATGCTCTGGAATAGGGATGTGTGTTTGGACCTACCCAAGCTGAAAATATACCTGAAAGATTTTTCGGGTATATTTCGGCATCCCAAATGTATCCAGGTTTTCTTGGGTAGTTGTTGTGTATTTATGCAGGAATCCACACATTTACATGCTAAAAGTGTGCATGTGTATCTTTTCTGGAACAAAAATGGGGACAAGATGGGCTGCCAAACACTGTCACCTGTGCTCAGTTGATTCATTTCAGCATTTTCTCCCCAGCCATGTTTCCATACTGCAGTGATGTGCATCTCAACTCACTACTTTAAAGACAGGGAAAACTCTGAAATGTCTAAAATAGAATTTTCCACAAATGCCTTAGTGACTCAAGAACCTTTAAGTATATCTCACCTGGTTGAAGCTTCTGTGCCACAGAATCTGATCACCGTTAAGGATTAATGCATTACCAAGAGAAGCTTGAGGATCCAGCCTGCCCACTTTCACTCTAAGGAAAGAGCCATTTGGGAAAGTTACCCAGTTTGTAACATCAAAGCTTGCAATTAATTTGCCTTCCTCATCAAAACATACAGTGTCTCCGGCACTGTTGTTGAATGAGATGCTCCCTAGAAAGTGATGTAGCTAGTTGAAAGAGAATATGAAACAAAGGAACAAGAACTTGATATCTTTATGATCTTCACGTAGACTTCGTAAGTGTAGCAAGATGGAAAAAGGGAGATTGGGGGGGGTTTCCCCTTTAACCATCAAAAGTCTATGCTGGGGATCAGTGGACCTGCATGATAAGAGTCAAGGGGGTTAGAGAAAATGCTGGCTAGACCGAATTCAGTTCTCACTCCCCTCCAATTTTGCCTTCAGATGGAAGAGAATTTGGAAAGCTATGAAAAAACAAGATGGGTAGCCATGTTAGTCTGTCTGTAGCAGTAGAAAAGAGCAAGAGTCCAGTAGCACCTTAAAGACTAACAAAATAAGTTAGTCTTTAAGGTGCTACTGGACTCTTGCTCTTTTTTACTTCTATGAAAAAACCAAACCTTAGATGTACTATGCAGCATTAATACACAAGGATTCACAATGGTGAGTGACCACCGTTTCAGGAAAATTTTAGAACTGAATTGTATCCATCTCTAGAGGATATGTTAGTCTGCTATGAGAAATAAAGCTGTTTCACTGAACTGCAATTACCTGCCATGGCTCTACATTCTGAAACTCCAGCCTGTTTTCTTTTAACAGTTTTCCTGGTTTGGATCTGGATACAGACATGTGATGTAAAGCATGTGCTACAGCAAGGACAGCACTATAGACATTATAACTGTGGCCAGTCATGCTTATTTCAAAAAACATCAAAGGAAGGCTCTCCAGTTTCTCCTCCCCAGTGCAGATCTTCTCACTCTCCACATGAACACTGGAATTTTTCAATGAACAACTGAAGGCCTGCTCCCAGAATTTCTGGATAAAATGATCTCCTTTTTTCCAGGAAGGTCTTATGAGCTGAACAAAATGTTGGAATCCTGGTGGCTGATTTGTGTGAACTGTGAAGGACAGGGTACCATGGAATATTTCTGTATCCCAAACCCTTTGTAAAGACAGTGACTCAAAATCCCATTGGGATGTAAAAATCCATACTTTACTCAGAGATGACTTTTCTTCTAAAAATAGCAACAGCCTCAGAATGTGTAGAGATGGGGGTTCTCCATATACAAAATAGACATTGGCTTTGCTGTCTGTGAGGAACAACCAAATCGACTAGCTTATTCATATAACTCTGGTTTGGGATTCTTAGTGTGAAGGCAACACAGATACTGTTCTCAGAAAGCATTGGCACAAATGTCTGCAAAAACCTGTCCCCACTGTCGTCATCCACAGCAACTAGCCCAATCCACGTCCATTTGAAATAGAGAAGTAACTGGACCACCCCCATGTATTGATAGGCTTCATTTGGGACCATCTGGTACAAAGAAGGGAATAGCATTTTGTCACCATAGGCTGAAGAAAGGGTTCCATAAGTGAGCTGAAAGAAAAGGTGTAGGTATGTTTCAAACAGAAAACAAGAAAAGTTTGTTCTTTTCTTTCATTGCCACAGCTGAAACATTACCATAGCCACATACTTACAGCCTACCTGTGGAATCTTATAGAGTGATAAAATGGTGGCCATATTAGCAGTGGTTTCTGAGACAAGCCCTCCAATGATAGCTACAAGATTTCCTTTGGTATCACACTTGTAATTAGGAACAAACCGATGGTATGTAGAAATCAGGCTAAGGGAGGCCTTATAAGTCATCTTTGATAAATAGTAGCTGTTGAGGATATGGAAGCCCAAAGTGGTATTTGGTAAAATGTTGGGATTCTCATTGATCTCTTTTACAGCAAAAGCCAGGGCTAAGATGTGCTGGTAGTTCTTTGGTACCAATCTGCAATGAGAATTATAGGCCATTAAGATAACTAAGGCCCCGGTCACACGGGCAGGAAACTGCGGGGGAGAAGCGTGGCTGTTTGCCCTGGGGCAAACTACTGCGCAGTTACTCGATCAGACCTCCCGTGGAGGTCCTGTGGAGGTACCGTGGAGGTTCCATGGCAAGGGAGAGGTGCTGATCACAGGACAAGCCAGCGCGCAACGAAGAAGCGCGCGCCGCGGCAAACTGGGTTTTTTTGTGTGTGTACACGACGAATGCGCATGCTCCGTTGGGTGCGTGTGCGCATCCACAGAGACGTGGACAAAAAACACACCTTATTTGCAAGGGGACATGGGTGGGCGCCGGATGCCACCGGAAACGCGATCAGACGCCCGCCTGCCACGCAGTTTCAGCTGGAAGCCTCGGTTGTGCCACGGGAGTGCTACACTTTCCAGATGTGCTGGTGAGATCGCGCCCGGAAACTCCGCCTGTTTTCCGTCTCACTTGTGTGGCTTCTGTTCCGTGTGACCGCAGCCTAAGTAAGCCTGAACCCTTTATCATTGTGTTAAGGTTTCCAACTTTGGAACTGAACTCTGTAGTTACATCTTCAACCACCAGATTTCATGCAGCAGGGGGGGAATCTGGTCAGTTAATTTACAGTCTTGCATAGTCCTCCTCTTTACTACAACTCCCTGTTAATCAACATGGCTTCTTTTGTCCATGGATGCAGTTCCCACAATCCCCTGTTATTATTTCTGTACCAATAAAATAGGAGATGCAAACTACAATGAAGTGAGTTCATGCAACTGGGGCCTGATTATTTCTATTATCAGAAATACATAAAAGCCCTAGAAAGATGTCTGTCACCTGGAGGTAAATTCAGAGCAGGTATGCAAATACCAAGTACATACAGGGGGGCCCATGAGACTCAACAGACTCAGCCATGTTTAAAAGCAAAAGCCAGAAACAGCAGTTCTATTTTCAGATTGAGTTGGATCCATGCATTCCCCCCCCAGTACCACCCAGTTGCTCTCCTTACTACATCCCACTTCCCATATGGCTTTTGAGGATACAATGCCCACGGTCCTCAGCCTAACCTTTTTTGGTGTTCAGGGAGGACCCATCCTTCTTTTTCTGATTGTATCCAAGTGATTAGGTTTAAGTGAACACTTGGGTCAACAACATAGACAAAATCATAGATTCAAATAATAGCATCAGATATAAATGATTATTGGGGAGTAGCTGTAGCTCCTGGTTTCTTTCAGTTTGAAATGAACATTTTGTATAGTGTAATGTATGAAAAGTTGTAAATTAAGCTCAACACTTTGTGGGGAAAACTGTAGACAGCATAAAACATGGTGATAGGTGTAAAATATATCAAATCAAATAAAAAATGAAAAGATGGAAATGAATGAGGGAGACAGAGATGGAAGCTGTTGTGTCCACTGACCGCCACCGGAGGTCAGCGCACACGCCTGAGCTTCAGTCCAGGACAACAATGGGGACTAGGATCCTAGTCCCTCCACTGGGGGAACCAATGGGACAGAGGCGGGAGATTCAACCCCGCCAATGAGACCCAGGGGTGGTCCCCTGGTAGTGTATATAGTTGGCCTGCCGGCCGTTTGCAGAGCGTTCTTGTTGTGTACTAATAAAGCGTGCTATGCACTACATCGTTGTCTGTTGTCCATCCATGCGGCAACCCACTACACAATAGAAACAAAACAAGGAGGCGTGTTGAAATAAAACTTCCTTTAAAAATAAGGGCAAAACCCACCAGGTTGTACCATAAACTTCATATAAATCCATGTTACATTTAATTCAAGTTCTCTCTAGGCAATGATCAAAGTAAAAGACAGGGAAAACAAAATGTCTGACAGTTCACAAGGTCTCCAGAAATGTTACATTTCATACCAAAATGTAAATTGATTATCACTAAAGCTCTGTTTGGCTTCATAATCCATTTTCAGTATTTATTAGTAAGTGATATAAAGGAGAATAATGATAATGTGCTTACACAGGGTCATCAATCACCATCTCTGCAGGCTGTTCCATGAAATTCAGAGTGTTGTAGAAGCAGAAAACCTGAGAAACCATCCCTCCAATGAGAAGATTGCCTGGCTGATAAAATTCATGAGGAATAGGGAGTGGATCATCATATATAGTGCAATTCACATCATCTGTCTTGCATACTGTATGACGTAGGAGTACAATCAGCAGCACCACAATCAATACCAGCCTAATGTTAAAACTTCCCTTCCAGATGCAGATTGTCATAGTTCTCTCTATAGCTTGAACTAGCCACTGTTGGTTTCTGCTGAAATCACAGATGACTTGTTTATTTTAGAAGGGAATCTCTGCATCAAAGTCCATCTTTGCTGTTCATAACAGTTCCTTTGATTACGGTACCTCTTGTCCACCAATATGTCTGTATTTACTTCCTTTACATCCTACCATCAGGATGCTGTTCTTTGGGCTTAAAAAAGTACTTGTATCTACAGATATCAGTAAATGGAGTCAGTGTACAGAAAGAAAAGAAAAAGGGACAAGATCTGCGAGAGCCCTCAATTAGATATTCTTTTTTTTTTTTTTAATGGAAATGCAGATTGAAAATATGTGAGAGGGGAGATGGTAGAATAAGGACCAATGTGAAAATATCAGGTAATGTTTGTTAAAAAAGAGCATAAAAGAAGATGTAGCAAAGACTGTATTTATCACCAAAAGAGAAAGGATTAGGCACAGTGTTACTTCCAGTGGGTAATATTGATTAAAAACTGATCAGGAATCAGTGGAGGGGAAAATACTTTTAAATATCAAGAGGAAACAATCTTACAAGGGACCGAGAGAGACCTGTCTATTGCTCACCCAGTTTCCATCGTTCAGTGGGGTATTTTATAGAATCATCAAGATGCATGTATTATTTTGCTAGTTGCTCTGCTCTCCATTGGGAAGCAAAAAGACAGCAATTTTGACACACTCTCCTATCAATGAGGCAATTATGATGGCCCCAAGCTCAATTCACAGTTTTTTTAATTGGTATAATTTCTTTAAGTGAGCACAGATCTATTACTAGTTTCTTTTTTTAAATCTGCACCAAAAAAGTTTCTAATTGAGTATCTAGAGAAATGCACTCTACTTTGTCTTACTTCATACTGTTGAGAGTTTGAGGGCTACAAAAACCTCACATTTGTTTTATGAAGTTTATCTGTTGGTACAAGGACAAGAAAAAGGAGAGTGGTTAACTGCTCTCAAACGCCCCTATCCATTAATTGCTCTCATAGGCACCCAGTATTTAAGGCTCAGTTATGTATATACTTCTAGCTAGCAGAGAACTGCAGAAAAGTAGAAGCAGATGACTATCTAGAAGACCCAGGTTCGAATCTCCCCTCGTGCCACGGAAGCTCGCTGGGTTACTTTGTGGCAGTCACACTCTCTTAGCCTAACCTACCTCACAGGGTTGTTGTGAGGATAAAATGGAGGGGAGGAGAATATGTAGGCTGTGCTGAGTCTCCATTGGGCAGAAGGGCATAAATAAAATAAGATAAACAAAGGAGAAGGGATTAGGCACAGAATAGTGCTGGGGTGTACCAGTGGGTAATTTTGGTTATAAATTGATTAGGAATCAGTAAATGGGAATATACCAGTCATTGGATAACGGGAGACACAAGCAATAGTCTGAGCCTTTAAATGGCAGCACTGAACGGAAACTAGGAGTGTTGGCTCCTTTGGTGGGAATTTCTGAATTTTTTTTTTTGTTTATTTATAAAATTTAAAATTTAAAATACAGTCAGTAGCTATAAGTCGAAACAGCAGCAAAAAATAAAATCGGGAAGGGGACACATTCACGATATCTGTTTGGTGGGAATTTCTGAAATTGACCACCTGGTGGCAGTGTACCAAAGGAGAAAACCCTCCAACAGTCAAGTCTCCCCTCTCCCCGTCACACAAGCATGGTGTACGACAGTGTATCATAGTCTGGGCCAATGAGTAGCTGTCCCAATTGCTTAGAAATGTGGTTCAACCCCAAACATGTATACCCACTGAATTCACTTAGTTTTAATTTTTACGTATATGTTGTTAGGAATGCACCATAATTTAATTTCTGAAATTTACTTAACCCCCCCCCCCAATCCTCATTTACTAAACTGTGCCGATTTAATATTGCTGATCAAGCCTGAATCCAAACACATCACTATAAACTGAGGAGAATAAACTGGTCGTTTCCACATTTGCCTGCCATTCTGGATTTTCTGTGTTCTAGCTGAGGCAATATAAATCCATTGCAAAACAGCATCCAAATAACCCGGGGCAACAGCAGGCTGAAACCGGGATGACCACTGAAGGGAGGTGATGTAATGCAGAATGGGGGGAAAACCCAGAATAAAAAGGTTGAACTGGATTTGGTTGTAAGGGCGGAGGGGGGGGGGGGGGGGGGGGAACCCTGGATTAAAAAGGTTGAATTTGATTTTAGTGCAGAATGGTTTGGAGGACACTGTGTTGAAGATGGATTTAAAGGAGAGTGCAAAAAGGGCCTTTGTCAAAATTACTGTATTCTGCTCACCAATGGATTTCCAAAGGCTTTTCCAAGATGAACAACCACCATATTTCAGAGATCCTATAAAATGCCCCAAGTTTGATCAGAATGGGCTTTGGGAACAGACAGGGCTCTCTGAATCTTTGATATAATTCTAATTCTTGTACAATTTCAGCACTTCCAACAAAAGCATAGTGGGGTATATCTCTACAGTTAACCAGTGTTTCCTCTAAGCTGAGTTAGTGTGAGCTAGCTCACAGTTTTTTAGCCTTTGGCTCACACATTTTTGTCTTAGCTCAGGAAGGATGGCGCCAGAGCAGACTAATTTATGCAGTAGCCAAATCGCCGGCTCACAACTTTAATGCCGGTAGCTCACAAAGCAGGATTTTTGCTCACAAGACCCCACAGCTTAGAGGGAACATTGCAGTTAACCCTTCCCATGTCCTCATTAGCCTCTCACTTCCAGATTTTTTTTTAGTGTTAGCCCCCAAATACAGATCTGTACAGACAAAAACACCCCCAGCATTATTATAATGCTGCTTCTATTTTGGGAACCCTTTTTACATTTTCATACCGTAATTCAGATTATTCTGTCACCTCCACCAGTATAGGATTTATATTTAAAGATTTACATACCAAAAGTCTAACATAGAAATCTAAAGTCTTCATTCTTATTACTGATATCTGAGCATGTACAGCAATTTTGAAGTTTTTTTTTTTAAAAAAAGAAACATAGGCCAAACATAGACACTCCATCTTGAGGAGAAAATGAAATACACTTTATGGAGACACAGATGAAGAAGAGGTAAGTAAAGGGACCCTTACAAAAAACAAAACAGTGAAACAGCTTGGCATAGCATTTAACTATGATCAGGGAGACCCAGGTTGTAATCTCCACTCTGTCATGGAAGCTTTTTGATTCTTCCCATTTGTTTTGTCTCAGATTGATTGGCTTGCTGCTTAGGTATATCTCTAAACAGTTTGGTGTAGTGGCTAAGTGTGTGGACTCTAATCTGGGAGAACTGGGTTTGATTCCCCACTCCTCCACATGCAGCTACTGGATGACCTTGGGCAAGCCATAGTTCTGTCAAGAGCTGTTCTCTCAAGGACAGTTCTTGAAAGAGCTCTCTCAGCCCCACTTACCTCACACTCTGTTGTGGGTAGAGGAAGGGAAAGGAGTCTGTAAGCCTGTCTGAGACTTCGAGTGAAGGGTGGGGTATAAATCCAATCTCCTCCTCCTCCTCCTCCTCCTCCTCCTCCATTCCTGAACTGCTTAAGACCATGCTTGATTATAAGTCTTGTGACTGATGAATACTTCCATCATCTCAGCTGCCAAGAGTGCGTAGGGTACCCACTGAAATGCACAATGTGGGAACAAACTGAGTGGTCTGTGCTTGACCCTAACCCTGGGGGGGGGGTTGGCTATAAGTATTATTTTCCATCTTTGCAACTGCATAATCAGGAAACTGAAGTTGTTAGTTTGGTGCTTCAGTCTGGCAGTGAAGAGTAGGAATGGGATGACCCAATCAGCATCTCAACTTGATTGGAGAGTACGGCACAAAGGAGGAAAAAAGGGAAACCCAAAATATGCCAACAATATTAAAAGGCTCAAGCTAACACAATAATAAAGATTAAAAGTTTAAAAACAAATGGCCTGAAGAGCAGACTATATAGAACACTAACATGAGCTGTAGTCATTTTGCATGCAGAGTTGATGATTTCACATACACAGTTGATCAGTATACCAAATGACTGATAGACCCATAAGTATTTGGGCCTCTAGGGCCTTCCTCAGTGGTCAATAATACTATTATAAAGAGGCACACATAAATTGAAGACAGGTGTTGCTTTCTCATATGCTGTGCAGTTGCTGAAAATGTAAGAAGTAGGGCATGGATAACTTCTCATGGCAACTGCGCACACTCAACAAAATCTTCAATGATGTAATAATCTGGCATGAAATTCCCCAAGCCTCTGGATGTGTGTGTCATTAACTAAAAGTTGCAATAAACTGGCCAAAAGCAATTTCCCCTATATTGCAGGCATTCATATCCTCACAGGACAGTACAAACAGCCCAAGAGTTTGCATTCCCACTCCAATGTCAGAGAAAGGTCTAATTGCTGGCTTTGCTGTGGGTCACAGCTATCCAACTAAGAGGAAGATAATAATAGCTCAGTACAATATCAGCAACACCACAGACAATATGCAACATTGACTGAGTCTCCTGAAATTACGTCAAGCGCTATAATTTATTCTGTCAGTCGCTAGATCCCTTGTGGAGCTCCAGCACCCAATAACAAAAGTGACATGGAAATATGAAGGAGGGTATAAATATAACTTCTTCCAGTGCAAAAGGAGGGCAGGGACGAAGCACAAACAACAATACATCAATTTTATTTTTGATGCTTTCTGCGTTATAGTCCTGCCTCCAGCTGTTCGGCAGATAGGCCAGTCATTCTAGTCAGGCCATAGCAATCCCAGAGAGACTTTAGTGAGGTTTCTGTGGATGCAAATACAGGAGTCAGAGGAAGGATCTGCACGCAGGATGGTGATGTTAGTGGTGATGGTTGTGCTGCTCCTGCCTCACATGGTGAGCGAGACTCAGGCTGTCAAATGTGAGGTATGGGACCCTCATCCGATTCTTCACGAATATCACCAACCAGGAGATCTCATCATTGGTGGCATTCTTTTTCAGACATTCGTTTTCACAGCTCCAGATTCCTTCAAAAAACAACCTGCTGG